CCAACACTGGAACAGTTTAAACTAGAGGGGAGTAGATTAATAGAGTTTCAGGTAGAAAGTTCCAGTCTGGGGAACATTCCAGCAATTCTAAAAAAAAAAAGAGAGACTTTCACCTGAAACCATGAGAAAAGTGGAAAACTCAACATTTTACCCCAACAAGAAGTTCTGAAAAAAAAGCTCACTTCAGGAAAAAATATGAAATATTTCCACTAAATTTTTTCTAGCATGAAAAACGTGTTTCAACACAATGTTATCAACTCTGAAACATTTACACAAAATAGTTCAATAAATTGGGATTTTCCAGCACGAATTTTTTGTTGAAAAATTTCTAGCCAGGTCCAATTTCAAAATCTATATACCAGCCAATGGGGTTCAAAGGTTGTTTTTTTTTTAATTGAGATTTTCTTTTTAACTAAATCCACCAAAGTAATTCCTTAAAAAAGGAACAGATCCAGAAGGCTTTCTGCTTGTTCTCAAAATGCAAAAAGGGGCCTCAATACTGAACAAGAACTTGCCAAAGATCGTCTTCATATTCATGCAGAGAAAGCAGCAGCTCTTGTTACCCAAGTTTAGTCCTTACCCTCTCCAGATCATCTACATGGTAAAATTTTGCATTGTGGCAAAATGAGTAGCTGCTGCTTAAGATTGAGCTAGATTTTCTCTCTCTTTTTTGCCCATGGTGCACTCATTCTTACCTCACTCCAGTAGTAGCTACACTGAAATCAGTGGGGCGAGTCAGAGGGTAAGGCACTATCTATGTGCAGGTTTCCATCATGGGGCACACAAGGGACTGAACCAGAGCTCCTGAGCTACAAGCATGAACCTCTTCTGGGCCTCGCAAACTTTGATCTCCTGCAGACCCACACAAGCACATGTGGGCTATACCAGAACCTGGCCCAATGCCATTGCATTAAATACTTTTTAAAAATTCTGAATTTCAGTGAAATCCATTCATTTCAGCTCATTTTCACTACTGAGTACAAGATCTCGGGGGAAACTTTCCAAAAGCATCGGCAAGGAGGGCCATACGTAGCTGCACGTGGGAACACTTGGGGGCTGACTTCCCTTTCATAGCATGTAAATGCCTAGAAAAGGACTGTGCCAATTGCTCCTTGCTCCACCTCAAACAGCTGAAAGGGTCACCAGTGATTCTCCCAATAAAGGGAATTGCCCACTATCATCAGCAGTGTAGAGCTGGATCCACATAAAGCTTGTGACCAAATCAGAGGGAAACAAGGAAGGGACAGGTGGACCAGCGTCTACAGTCCCTGAGCAGCCCAGGCTGAGGAGGACAGAACAGCAGCTTCAAGCTACCTCTCTCGTCTCAGCCTTGGCACAGCTGAGCCCAGCAGAGCTGATGCACACAAACAGATGTGCCTGTACATTGTGAAAATCCAATAACACTAAGGTCCTTATTTTCATTTTTAAACACTTCCATGTTCACGTAGAGCTGAGACCAAAGGGAAAATGGCAAACTTGGTCTTGAGATTACAGAGCCCAGGGTTGTTCCCATGCTATTAAGAGGCATGGGATCATCCTGACTCTGCAGACACCTCTGCATTCCCCAGTACAGGATTTAGATACTCGCTGCAGAGATTTCAAGCACCCCAAAAGACGGCACTGTGTAGACTGAAAGAACTTCCCCAGGTTAAAATCCCAGTGACGGGGAAGAATTTCTATGGCCTATCTTATACAGGAGATCGAGGCTGATGAGCAAAATGATTTGTCTGGAGTTAAAAAACTTTAACTATGATAGAACCATTGAATATAGAGTGTAAACAATACAATGGGCCAGAGGAGGGCAACACACTCAGCCCAATGTCTATTGTCTACCTCAAACCCACAAAGGAGGAAGAAAACACAAGCTGACCCAAACTCTGCACCAAGGTCATTTCAGATGCATAGCAAAATTCCCCATTGGATAAACCAGTCATTTAATTTTAAAACTAGCTCGCAAGGTAGACCTGTCAATATTGGGGACAGGGAACTGTAATATAATTTACGTTCATACAGCACCTTGCACAACGGTGCCCTGACCAAGTTAGCATTTAGGCACTACCATGTTATAGAATATTAATAATAATTAGAGAAATACCAGGGCTGTATAATAGCTAAACAATTGCTCCCCAACCACAACATCCAATGCCTCTGAAAAAAGGTCACCCTTTGCCAAAACTGAGCCACCACACAATTATCATAACACTTTCTTACCAGATGGAGGAAGTACAGCCCCAGTATCTCAGACGCTGCACTACTCTGGTAATAGTGGATAGATGCTGGCTCAATAAGGTCAAACATTGTATATTCAGGCAGCAGTGGCCACTTAAATTTAACTAATTTAACTTTGCTCATTTAAACTGTGGGGCGAGGTGGGCATGCTGGAGCAGAGGGACAGAATCCAGCTAGGTCTAGAGAGGTTACAGAGGTGGGCGGATGAGAATAGGATGGGATTCAATGCAGACAAGTGCAAGTTGCTGCATCTAGGGGGAAGGAACCAGCAACACACCTACAGGCTGGGGAACTCACTTCTCAATAACACAGTGGCAGAAAGGGATCTTGGAGTCATTGTTGACTCCAGGATGAACATGAGCCGCCAATGCAAGGAAGCGGTCAGTAAGGCTAACCGTACCTTGTCATGCATCTACAGATGCATCACAAGCAGGTCCAGGGAGGTGATCCTCCCCCTCTATGCAGCATTGGTCAGGCCACAGCTGAAGTACTGCATCCAGTTCTGGGCGCCGCACTTCAAGTGGGATCTGGATACCACTGAAAGAGTCCAGAGGAGGCCACTCGCATGGTCAGGGGGCAGCAGGGCAGGCTCTACAAGGAGAGGCTAAAGGGCCTGAACCTATTCAGCCTCCACAAGAGAAGGCTGAGGGGGGATCTAGTGGCCATTTACAAACTCACCAGGGGGGACCAGTGGGAATTGGGGGAGGCTCTGTTCGCCCCAGGCACCACCAGGGGTTACTAGCAAAGGTTCCTTGCCTAACCATGGCAAAGTCATTTGATTGCCTGTTGGTAACATGCAGGGGATATTATGTACCCTTCTCCCAGCCTTTCACTTTCTTACAAAACCTCAAAGCTCTTGGAGGCAAGGATTGTATACAGTGTCCAGGACAACTTTGCCTGAGGCCTCTTAGATGTGTCTATGGTCCAACAGCCCTACGAAGAAAAAACAACAAACCGTCATATTGTCCTCCTGGATGTTTTATTCTCTCTGTGTTAAGAGGGAGGTGCAACTGTGCATTTTAATAATCCACCCTCATAAACAGATGTTCCCCTTTGTAGAAGAGCTCAACAATCAAGCAAGAAGAGACATCATCCAATGAACCAGGGAAATTTGGGATCTGCAAAAGCACTTGAGGGAGTTAGTTACTCAAGCCCCAATAAATTTCAACAAAAGTTGTGTGTACCTAACTCCCTTAGTCTCCTTGAGGATGTAGGGGGAAAAACAACTTCATCCTCTGCATCCTCTGGAGCTTTTTTTCTCCAAGTTCCCTAGCTTTTCTTTTCTTACACTAAATGCTTGTCAGGATGGCTCCTCTCTCCTCAGCAGAAACACAGAGCTGTACCTAAAATAAATTGCTCCACAAATCAACAAAAGCTGAAGTTAAAGGGCTTAGTGGCTCTATGGATATCAATCGTGGCACTCCATCTGTGAGATGCCATCTGTGGCTGCGGCTCACCCAAAAAGCCCATGTTTAATTAATGTGGCTGTAATTTGCTCAGATTTTAATAGATCATGGACCCTTCTACTTAATCACTGCATGCAACGTGGCATATTGGATTCTCTGCAGGATGCGCGGTGGGCTGGGGAATGAGCTAGCAGTGACTGAACTACCACTCACCCCCAATAAAAGTTCAGGTCACTGCAGAGGTCAGTGGTATGGAGAGAAGCATGGGAAATCTCAGATTGCCTTTGCCTGTCCTGTACCTGACCTGTAAATAAATAGGAAGATTGATGCAGGCAGTGTAGCCAGCACCTTAACACTGGAAAAGACAGGTATTGCTCCTTAAAAACACATCAGCAAATTCTAGATGGAAAACAGGGAACAGCAGGGAAAGTGTGAAATGGATAGAAGCCCGTCGGTATAACTGCGCCTCTTGCTTTGTCCACAAATCCTAGGTCCACTGCAAGTTGCACAGCAATGGAGGCAGGGAAGAGTCAGTGCTTGAGGCAGAGCTGTGCTGTGTCCCCTCCAGCATGGCGAGACTGAGGTGTCAGGCAGTTTAGAAAGGGTGTAAAAAGGCCTGGGATTCAGGTGTAGTAGCTGAGGGGGGTGATGGGGCTTTTTCACACTCCTGCCCTTTCCTTTTAATTTAGCCTCAACCCTGCTGACTTCATAGAAAAGGACAGATAAAGAGGAGGCTCGGTCAGTACCCCCATAGCAGGTCAGGAATCATCTCTGCTTACTTGCCAAGTCACATTCGTTATGCAGCTGAGGGCTTTGGGGAAAAAAAGTCTTTTGAGCTCTTCATTCTGCTTAATCCATCCTGTGTCAACAGGTCCCATTTTAAAAATAACATTTCTCACCCCCTCTAGGCCCAGCTCCACACATCCCACATTTCCCTCCCAGACCACCATCCAGCCGACATCGTCAGACACTTGCTTCCTGCTGTTCTTCCCACAGCCAAACCTTATTCTCTGCCAAAGTTTGCAGCAGGTTGAATGGAAATGTGCATGCATGGTGACACTCAGTTCCGGCAGGCCAAAGCTAAGGGTCAGGGGACATGCCAGCTGGTCAGTCAGCGTTCAGGACTAGAGAGGAAGAGGTTTGATCACTGCAGGTGGCACTGTTTTTCCCCAAACCTTTTTTCTTAAGTTACATAAACACACAGGCTTCCTAAGAAGCGGGTTCTCTCCTGGTCCATTTCCAAGCTATTTGTCATAAATTGATGTCATGGTAGGGAGCAGGAACAGAAACACATGCGTGTAAGATGCAGTCATGCAAATGCTAGGAGTATAACCCCAAATGAAAAGAAAGCAAAAACCCACTGATTTCGGATGAATGACTTCTAGTTTTACATACTGGAAGTGCGAGGAGCATCAGAGCCACCTGGCTGTAAATGTTCGGATGGACTGGACTGCTCGTCAACATGCAGCAGCGTTGTAGTGCTGCTGTAGCTGTGATGGTCCAGGAAACACAAGGATCAAGGTTGGTGAGATAAAACAATACCCTTTGTTGGCCCAATGTATAGCTAGGAGAGATGTTAGACAAAGTTTCCCACACAAAATGCCTTTCTTCTGGCCTGAAAAAGAAACAGATACAGCCTAATTAAATCCCACTTACAACAATTAACACTGAATTAAAAATTCTTTTAACCCCATTATATTAATGAAGGTCATCACTTAAAATCGGATGTGGGCAGTAAACCTGTGGAGCAAAGAGAAGTTCCTCTGGCCTTAGCACTTTGCAAAAGCACTACAGATAAAGCAAAGAATAAGGCTATAATTAAATCTAATTATGTAAATGAATAAGACCATTCAGATGAGGAGAGGGCTGTTAGCACCTGTGGAGCCCAGAGAGATTTGCAGAAAACAAGTATGAAGTGGTCTGGGCTAATCTGCTTACCTTTGTGTTGACAACTCGGGAGAGGAGGGCTGCAAACAATTTCATTTTAACACCTTGAACCAGGACCAGGGAGATCAGTTCAGATGAACCCTGGGTGATGCCTTTCTACAACACTTACTGACAGGTTCCAAGCACTATAGTGAGCAGCAGAAAAATTTCAGCTGGGCTGGTGGGCAGTATGGAAGGACAAACTGTAGGGACTTTTTCATGACACAGGAAATCTAGGACATGAATGTCAAGGTGCTTCCAGTCTTCGATTAACCAATTCCTGCCCACAGCAGGATTCACGGTGCTGTTTCTACTTTGCAAGCAATGCAACCAGTCCTTAACTAAAGAAGCTCCAGAATTCCCCATCCACAGCTCCTTGAGTTGTGTGCATCTTTTTTAAATGAATGGTCATTCTGCAACTTGCATGCACTTCAGTCAAACACTGTGCAGGACAAGCCAACAGGTCTGTGCGTGTTTTCCTCTGCTTTGTTGATATATGAAAAACCCAAACAGACAAAAGAAGCAGGCCAGCTGCTTCGGCAGAGGAAACGGTGAAAAAAGAAATAACTATGCGCTCTGGACCTGTCCCATCTATTTATGGCACAGTTAGGAACTGAGTCCAGGTTTCCAAGCCAGTAATCTAATGGCCTAGCTTGTGCACTGTGCTTCCTCAGTCAACAACATCTGTTTCTGCAAAGACACCAAGCACTCTGTTCCCACTGATTCAAATGAGGACATCAGAAGAGACCCGGACCCAAGCAACTAAGACCCTAAGGTCTTCATGTGATCATAGCAGGCTCTTCAATATAGCAGACATCGGCATGCTGTGATCCAATGATGAGATGGGAAAGGGAGGAAAACTCAGGCTGAGAATATGGCACTCATTTTTAACAGCAAAGGTAATTAACTCTGACATGTGATCAGTTTGCTACCATTTGAAATCTTCTGACAGGTTGTCTCTCTGAACCTGCAGTTCAACAATACATGGCTTGGACATGCTGACATGTTTCAGCCACTCTCTGAGCCAGGGAGTCTAACAGAGCTCTGCTTCGTGCATCCTGTGACGTGCATGGTGTAGCACGGGCCTCTGCACAACACAACAGGTCCCAAATGGGTCTGGGAAGAGCCTCTTAGAGGTACAGTTCCCTACATCTTCCCATCTCAGGCAAACATAGCAGCAATGACAGTCAGCGCTACAGGTAATGAAGAAATCCAAATAAACAACCAGTTAACTACCAATGTTCAGGTAATCTGGGCATGGTCACATGACTGTGGGGGTCTCTCCTAAACTATCAGCACTTCTCTGGTTAGTCGGTCAGTAAATCCACTGGCGCTGGTCATGTACCGCCCTAAGGCTCAGCCATCTTGAATTACTGTGGTTGGCACTTGGAGGTGAGCTGACCACCTTGCTTGCATTCATCTTCTGTCCTTCTGGGATTTAGAGGAGGGGTCAACCATTCTTTCACAGTATGTGTTTGTTGGATGTGACAGCCACATGTGACCGTAGCCATTTGTGATGTCAGTGCTGTTTTTAAGCATTGTTTCCCATTGCAGATATCCTCACCACCATTTTCATTAAGTGGTAGCAGCTGGCAGGGTCCTAAACTGCACTAAGCTTTTTATTTTGCCTTATTTGTCTTCTTTGGCAATGCCTTACCAGTGCAACTTTACAAAATGGTTGATTTAATATACATGAACACCTGTTTGGTTGTAGCATCTTCTGGTAAAGCTATCTTAAAGAAGTGAGACTAACAGGCTTCATAACAAGCGCATATAGTTGTTTCCAGCCAACATGAACCCACCGGGTATGTGCACCTCCTGGTGCTGTTGTGGACTCCAACTTCAGACTCTGTATACCTTTTTGCCTCATGTCTCGTTTCTTCAAGGATTTGAGATTCTCCACAAAGTCCACTGTGTCAGCAAACTGTCCCCGCTCTACCAACTCCAGTCAAGGAGGGGGAGGTAGCTTTGCTTGGCAAAGTCTCATTGCCTTGTCAAATATTAATGCTGGGTCTTCCTATAGTCTCCTTCAGGGAGTTTTGCCCTGGATCCCAGTCACAGCTGGGGCTCCTATTGGTACTTAGATACTAGCCCCTAGCTCGTCTGCCCCAGATCAGTCACAAGCTTTTCCTCTCATTTCACCTCCTCATGCAGTAGTCCTCACACTATGCCATCCAGTTGTGTGCTTTGACTGCTCTATCCAAGTTAATTTAACCCTTTTAAAAACACTGAGGGCTGCAGAACCAACTATTGTCATAAATTGAGCTAACTTTAGACTCGCATCCTTTTTGCATGCAGATTGAATGAAGTGCTGTTTAAGCGTGCTCCAATTGTTCTCCACATTTCCAGAGTGTTTTGATTCTGATGGGGCTTCGAACTACATCAGTGGTCCACCCAGTGTTTTCTTAGTTAATTTTGGCATCCCATTTTGTTCAGAAGAAGAGAGTCTGCTAGAGATCTGCTTCACTTGTCGTCTGAGTCCTAGCTGATCATAAGCCTGTACACACAACACAATACCTGTTCCAACTGGCTCTTGTGAGAGCTTCTTCAAGGTACCATTCCCCACAACTGGGTACAATTCAGTAACCTGGGCAATACAAGAGGTCAGTCTAGATCAGAAGCTAGCAATCTTTTACCAATGGCAGACTGAAGCCGTGCTGCTCAGCCCTAACATGGGAGGATGACCCAGCTGCCACTGCTTCCCTTGCTGAAAATTGCCACTGCTGCCACGTGCCATTGAATAGTGCCAATTCCCCATGCCACTGAAAACCTCCACTTACCGCCAAATGCCACTCTGGGCTAGATCTGGTCCATGGGCTGCAGGCTGCCAACCTCTGGCCTTTGATAATCATGAGAGTCCTTTGTGGCCTTAATATGTAGATGTAAGTGGTGCAGCTAGCTAGAAGTCAGAAGGAAGCAACCAAGATAGGTCAACCATCTTCAAAAGAGCAAGGTATTTAGGAATAACGTCTGTCAAAATCATAATTGGAAAAATAACTGGAGTCAAATTTACAGCTGAAGCAAAGAATCTGGTACAGCAAACAATGTCTTTCACAGGGCATGAAGAGGCAGGGTGTGGGAGCGGGACAATGGAGTGCCAAAAATAAGGAAAACACATCTGTTGTACTCTTCTGATGAGCTTGGCTGCAAAATTTTAATTATATCTATCAAAGCAATGTTTATGTGATTAAGACAGTGTCCGCAGTTTACCAGCTGGAGCAATGGGCATCACCAGTCTAATGGAGCCAATTTTCTTCTATAAAATAATCACCAAATTGCCTGCATCTAGCTATTAAAGGGATTTTAGACTAAGCAGATGGACAGTTAGGATTTAACAAAACAGTTAGCATGGAACAAAAGGGTCACTAGTATTTCCTTTCCTGGATAAAAAGCCCTGACATTAGCTGTGTTTGTGCATGCAGTTTCCATTATGGGAAAAGAACATGAAGTCTAATGATTTTTTGTTTTTTTGCTTCTCTCTATGGCCTGTAACATTCATCACTTAGTTTTGCTCTAGGCCAGTGGGGGACGGCAAGGCAAAAGTTAAATGTGATCCAGTGAATGCCCAGTACTTTCTGTGAGGACAGTGCCAAGACACAAAATGCCCAGTCTGACACTGAACCCAGTTTTTGTTCCACGTTCATTTGCATAAGAGGAAACTGAGCTTGGGGGGCGGAAACACAAGAAACACATTTGGAGGGATGCAGATAAAGAAAATGGTGGTCCAGACACAAACCAGAAGAAATTCATGCCTAGGAATATGTCCAATTGACATGTGAGCCAGACCGTGCACACAACACTAACAGCTGGAGTTACGGGCAGCTGAACTCTAATGGAGTCAATTTGCTGCTGGAAATAATTACTAAATTACTCACATTTCTCCACTGAAGAGATTTAAATCTGAGCAGATGAAAGTTGAGGGTGTAACAAACTGAGCACAGAGATGAGTTGCTAGGTTTTCCTTTTCCCATGGATGACAACTGAAAACCCAGGATGTCCAGGTGATCTAGCCAGGCTCCTTGTATTACTTAACCCAAGTGAGGAATGAGTCAAATGTGTTAATACTTCAGTTCACATCAAGCCCAGAGGAAAGCCCATTTGGCTGAAATGTCAGCTGATACATGAAAGGATTTATTAAGAAATAAACAAACAACAGCCCTTTTAGTAACAATGCTTTCAATTTAACACATTTCCTGCCCGCTGTCCCCTCCCTGCCCATCAAAGTGGAAAGGAGCAGAGCAGGCATTAACAGGAAGAGGAAAGTGCTCAGTTACAGGCAATAGTAAAGCTAAGTTATTAACCAATACACAACAATGCTAGCTGAATATGTATTGGACACCAGACAGACCAGGACTTTCCAAGGACAGTGGTGCAAAGTACTTAAGCCTACCTACCCACCCAAGGTATTTCTAAGACAGCTATCACTGAAGTGTCTGAGCAGCTTTTATGTTGCAGATTTTAAAAGGCTGCAAATTCCCACGCCTGAAAAAATATGGTTCAGCTCTAGAGAGTTCAGTCATTTCACACAACTTCCTAGACTGTTCAATTAAGTCCACAGGCATTTCAAGAGATTCCAAAAACAAATGAAAAAGAAGAGCAAAAAACTAAGAGGAATTACCCCTGTGGGTATTATGGCATCACCAAAGTCATTGGGAGCTTTGCCTTTGACTTTAATAGGGCCTAAAAGGCAAATCCCAGATTAAGTCCCTAAAGTGAAATGCAGGCAAATTTAAACACCTAGGCTGCCTACACACATGCTCTGATGTGTTCTAATTAGAAAGCATTGGAGCAGACTCAATTAATCAGAACGCTCTAGTTAGATCACTTTAGCATCAACCAATGGAAAGAAGGGGTCATCACCGGGGACGGCTATTCTGCAGTTGCTCGGGGATGTAGGGGGGTAG